GAATGTTCCATTTACATTCAATCTGTCATCTCATGAAGCTATTCTTACCTCGCTCTCATTCATTTTCTGTGTATTTTGCTCTGTGCATCAGGAATCAACCACAGGGTATGGGCGACTTACATGTCTTAAGTGAAAGTGCACTTTTACAACTGGGTCAGAAAAATGTTCATTCGATGATCAAAATACTTTTTCATCATTTATTTATTTATTTGATTACGATGATTGGCTGTCAGTAAGAACCCATGACAAATCAGCACCTGCAATTACGGATCAATCAAGCTTGTTCCAGCAATAGCAAAAACAACTTCAGGACAATAAAACCCGTGCTTCAAAACTTGTAATTTAAAAGCAGTGATTCCAATACTTGAGTGTTTATATACAGTGTACAACGGTGGGTTTAACCTCACAATTCACTACAGCTTTTGTTCAGTGATCATTTTATTCCTTAAGCCTAGCATTCTTCAATCATTCACCAGTTGAAAGAATGGGGACTGTTAGGTTTTATATCAGTGCTCTAAAATAAATCAGTGTGTTTTATTTTTTAATGTTGGGCCCAGTGGACCAGCCAATAGGAATTCAGCTCCAATTATCGTCGCTATTCTGTGCTGGGAGCACTTAGACAGAAATTCAGACCTACCCTTCTTAGAGGATGTATGACATGTGTAACATACAAAATTTCTCCCTAACCCATGAAATACGCTAACCAGATTGGTTCTGAGTTTTGGTGGAATAGGCCTGTGTACTGACGACACCACACTTGGTTGACATTATGTGCTTTGCTACGAAGGCGTTTGGGGCCCCCACGGTCCACAGAGCAATATACATGTAGGAAAGCACGTTACCAAAGAGTGGCATTGTCAGTTCAGAGGTCTATTACACAGAGCAAGAGTGTTCCTACAGAATAACATTATCAAACTCCACAGCAAGGAACGCTGAATAAGTTATTTTGTCAAGAAAAACACTAGCCGAGAACCATTCAGAAGTAGTGAACTGTGCTTCACATACAGTTTGGCTGGTAACCAAACTTTGCTGAGCAAAATAATAATGGGCTCAGGAAATTCATGAGCTCAGAAGCTCCAAGAACTTTGCCTAGGGCCCTGATGTTTAAAAACAATGGTATTAATATGAAATTTACATTTGATGTGCAACAAGTGTATAATTCCTTACACTCCTGTCACTTTTGTTCTATAACAAAAGCTTTTTCTCTTAAACCTCAGCAAAAAAATATTGCGCAAAACACACGTTGGTTTTTGAAAACATAGAGTATTTGTAAGAAGCTTAAAAGTTACATTATGTACAATCTTTACTTAATTCAGAATACATGTACGGTGAACAAGTTTGGTCGCTCGTCAGGTTTAGTGTTATTCTTATATTCTGGCATTTGACCTCTGACCTCAGCACATTTGCTGATCTATCTCTTTTCATCACTTACGTTTTACTTCTCCCTGTGTGTAAAAAGAGAAAACATTTGAAATATGAACCTGTCCAAAGAAGAGAAGAGAAGAATTGGCTTTGGAGATAGCATGTGATTTGTACTAACTGTAACTAAATAAACTGTAAGAGATACTGGCGTCCCATTCCTCAGAGATGAATGGCTTCATCAGACATGTGTAAACTTTCCAACCATACAGGTACTGTACGGGCCTTCCAGCATATGCCATCTTTTAAGTCTCAACTCTTCGGTGCTACAGCTACAAGCAGCAAGTGTGTATCTCTGCGTCATAAAGGCACACTGGAATGGTTACTTTCTGAATATACAGGAACTAAAAAGGAAGCCATGAAATAGAAGGTTGAAGTTCCGAGTTCTGCAATACTTGCAAAGTGGTCAAATCTATGGAGATATTTTTTCGTGGTGTAGTATGATATTTACGGCAGAGAATGGAGTTGGATGGTATCAAACTGATCGAAACTCAAAATTCAAGCACTAGTTGAAACATTTGAAGCAAGATATGGGACGGAAAGAACCCCCCTGCCTTTGTGTTGGTCATTGTTTGATCAGAATCTCAGGAATTCTCTACAGACTTCTAGGGGGATGTGTTAGGTAACAATAGGCTAGAGTGTGTATAGGGATTGGACAGGTGAGGGGGGGTACCCCTCCGTCCCATCTTGACTGGTATAAGTTGAAAACTACACGAAAGTAAGTGTGTAAAACTGCATATACATGTATGAGTGTTCAAACATGCAACAGAGGCTTTGCTTGGTAGCCATCTTGCAGGGCAGTGCTTTTGGTTTCATGGGAAACCTCCTTTGTGCATACCCAGTGGAACAAAAGCACTGGTCTACAAGATGGCAGCCATGCAAACCCTCTATTACCATCCTTCTCTTTAAAATGCTAAAGAACATTTATACTTGTATATTTCACACACACACACCATGCAATGTATATTGAAATCAGTCTTCCCAGGACTTTGGACAATTTTTTTCCCCAAGGAAAAACTCATTTCAATATCCAGAATGCTTACATTCTGAAATAACCCTGAAGTGCACGAGCATACAGTCAGGATTTACTGGTGGTTTTAACTGATGGTGAATAAAGTTACATCACAAGGGATTTGCTGATTACGGTGAATAAATACATGTGTCCGTCGGCACGTCTCAGTTGACTACAGCGGCCTGTTCGGGATTCCAGGATGATGACTGTCCGTCTTTTGGTGTTGAGATGTAGCGCAGCTTGGGTGTCTTAGGGGCCTGGGCCGGGGGGTCCTCGGCGCGGGACTTGGAGCCGGTCGCCGGCCTCTGGTCATGCTCAATCTTGAAGATGTCAGGCTTGCCGCTCTTCTGTCTCAAGGCAGGGTGATCTGCATGGAAGAGGTCAACAACTGCATGAAGAGATTCATTTGTGAAGATGAAAAAAGGGTGGGATTTGAACCTGCAACCACCGGAACACCACGTCAGTGCTCAACCAACTGAGCTATGCCGTGCCTGCCTACAGGGGCAGGGATGGTTTCTGATTTAACCACCCAGCTACTTTTAAATAACCAGCCCCCACACAAGATCTGATTTTTGAGCTTTTTAATCAATAATGAGAAACACAGATGACTTTTTAACACAAGAAAGGTCCAATGTACATGTACAATTTTGTCTGCATCTGAGCATGGCCCTTTACGTGAAGCTTTTGATGAAAGTTTTATTGGACGGCTTTGTGAAGTCCATTGAAAATTCCACAACCAACTCAGTTTAGCTACCTTCCCCTGTAAAGAGTGTGTCTCCCTTCCTCTCGGCAGTCGCCACCTTGCGCTTTTCCGCCTCCTGCTCATAGGAGTAGCGGGAGTAGCCGTTGGCCGTCCCCAGCCGCCTCTGGCTGCCCTCCTCATTCAGGGTGGGGTCGGGCCTGTCCAGCTCCCCGTAGCCGTTCTGCAGGTTCATCATGGGTGGGGGCTGGCTGCGGGGGCGCTCTCCGATGGCCGCCTCGTAGTACTCTGGGTTCTGTGACCGCTTCCAGTATTCCTCCTCGTTAGAGATGGCGCTGCGGATCATGTCCAGCACCAGGTCTTTTTCTGTATCGGTGAATGGAAAAAAATTTGGATGGGGGTTTCTGAAACTACTTGTCACCTGCTTTTTTGTTGTTGGCGCATTAAACATCATTGACAATAAATCTCTTAGTGATAGCGGTGACTTGTTTAACCCCTTCACGACGGATGACGGTAAAAGCCACCATAAAATTTGAGATCCTCAGCCCGCTTTTCAGCTATTATTCTCAGCCCACGCTCGAGCGAACACGGTGAAAGAAGGCAGACCCTGGCTCTTGTATATATGGTGATTGGCCTTTGTGTGTAGCCCAGAAATGAAAAGACCAAATTTGCATCATAATCACCAGGTTCACAATAGTGCCCACTTTGAAAAGAGGCAACGGGAATGTGGAAGCGTGAGTAGAGCCGCATGCCACTGAACAATGAGCCTTTTCACTGTGTAATTCAAAGCGTGCAGAGCACACAGGGCCACAAACCGAGAATTTGCAGTTTGGCAGGTGGCCTTCGTGGCCAAGCGAGGCTGGAATTCTTGGAGTCGGCTTTCGGAAAAAAATTTCCGTCGTCAAGGGGTTAAACAATCAGGAGCTGGCTACAAAAACAGTGAAGGTTATTTCAATCTTTAGAAGAGAAACAGGTTGGCCGTTACGTGTAAGCATGGATCCAAATTTGGCCAGTTTCACGCTATGTTTTTTTAAGCTCGTTCCGCGTCATACTATTGACTGGGGTTGTTGTAGTAGCAGGTATTGACGGCAGCAGAATAGGGATTCAAAGAGCAGCGAATGCGGGCAATTCACAGTACAGTGCACCACCAAGAGGTTGACACGGAGAGGCCATTTTTCAAGTTTACGGTCAACAAAAACGTGGTTGCCTTGCCGCAATTAGCATGTGAGCCAATGCCAGTAGACAACTTGAGGAAATTTGGGATGGGGACATTCTGTCATTTCCATGCAAAGGAAAGAGGGACGTCTTTATTAACAATACCACTCAAAATACACTTATGAATCCTCCACCCACACAATCATTAGGATTAATTCAAGTTCCCCGTGCCCTGGCGGCAAATAGACTGTCCATTTTCCACAATAGGCTGTGCGCGGCAACTTCTTCCTGGTGCACAGTATTCGTGAACTGTCCGCAGAGTCTGTGGCAATTGCCTGTATTTAGTTTTACCTCTCTGTCCAGCTGAGCAGAGCCAGGCCTGAACAGCATTAATGGAATCTGTCTGTAGAATCTGGCACAACATCTCCATCACCTTGAAAAAGAAGGAATAAACCTGTTACTTTGGGGGAACACAGAAATCAACTGTGTTTTAAAAAAAAGCTACAGCTATTGAGGAAATAAAGGATTAGCATAACTGCTTAATTTGTATATAATGCAAATACTTCTCTCAAGTACTGTTTGAACTTGGGTAGCTTGATCAGTTCAATATCCCTCAGGAATATCGATTTTAAAAAATGTTCGGAAAGCAGGTTGCAATCTTTGAAAATGGCCTTCAAGCAAATGTTAAAACTATTTGGACTAAACAAGCCGACTGATCTAGCCCCCCCCGGCAGTGTAAGACCAACACCATAAGCGGTAATTTCAATAAACCACCTACTGATGATCTATGTACTGTCTCTTTCTGCCCACTGGTGATGGAAGCAGATATATCCAGCAGGAAATGAGACCGAGGGGTACCCCCCCCAACATGTCCAATCACTATACACACTCTAGACCAGTGTTACCTAACACATCCCCCTAGATGTCTGAAAAGTATTCCTCAGCTTCCAGTGAGACAATGACCAACACAAAAGGGGGGAGGAGGGTTCTCTCTGTCTCATATCTTGCTTCATATGGCAGCAGAGGGGCCGAGGGGGGCAGTGGCCTCCCACTTTTTTGACTTGGGGAGAAAAGCACCCCTTCCCCACTTTTGGCAGGTCCTTATAATGAAGCGCGATTTAATGGATCGATGTAGTAATGGCAGATGCAAGACGGTCTCACAAATCCCCCCCCCCCAAAAAATTGTTCTTTCACTGTTACTTGTGCCAACCGATAGTTTCCATTTATTATACACACGTATTCACCTCTTTTCACTACTGAAGGTAAATGTATAAGATATCTCTAGGATCATTTTCCTATCACCAAGACAGTATGAGCATCCTGGGTGCTTACCAGTGCTTCCTGGTCAACCTCGGGGGCGATGTGATGGAAGAGCTCCCTTGGTCTCTGCTTCTGGCGTGAGAATCCCCTGGACATTGCCCGGGACGGCGGAGGGATGAGGCGGCCGGTGTCAGCTGAGTAGACGCTTGTCCTCTTAGGCTGGGCCTCCTGTTGCTCCTTGATCTCCTTGGGCAGGCCCAGGCCGGCCTTCTCAGTCAGCTGACGGAGCTCCTCACGCCACAGGTCTGTCAGTGGGACTGTAGCAAGGGAGAGGGAACAACAGAAGCAGTTTTGAGGCAAACCCACAGCTTTAATTATAAGGATCGAAGATTGTCAAATCTAGGGGCTTTCTCACAGCTCAACTTTGTCTCTGGGTTCAGATCTTGTTTCATGAATTGAGTCTCCTGAGTTTAGACTCTGGTTCAAGACAGAAATGTCCACTCTCTAACATCGGACCAAAGTTTGAAGTATCAATACACCCAAATTCGGTTCCAGCGGAAAATGTTCAGAGCTGTGGAGCCAATGATGAAGCCAAATGGATATAATGTTGAGATGGCTTGTATGTATTTGCTGGAAAATATTTTGCTTTCAAAAAACACGATGCAGGGAATGGGAGAACCCATTTCCTTTGGGGGGAGGTACAAGGTATCCACTGAGGTAGTACACCTGGTAGGGGTTTTCATTGGCAAACCTTCAATGAAGTCTGGCCACAATATTCTAGAAAATATAATCCATGATGTAGTAGGCAGAATCTCAAGAGTTTTTTTTTTTTCAGGTTTAATTGAAAGTTATCAGAAAGGGGCGAAGTTCCCCCTCCAAAACTTTTTAAGATGGTGATTCCCTCCTAAGCTATGAAGCAATGTGAAATGTAAACGCTAATTACATGTTTTCCATTACAGATTTGAAATGGTGAATAAATGATACTTGAAGTATTTTGAAAAAAAAACACCCAAGCACTATACCACACAAAAGTGTACTGAAAGCAACACGGTGATTCAGGGTACTAGTCCTTGGTAATATACATGTACATTACTTGTTAAATTGGCTTTGAACTGCTTTAGCAACACATCCATTCTCTAAAAAACAAAGCATGTTGCTATGGCACTGATGATTGGTTACTGTATTTACATGATGGAGGTTCAAAGGTATGTCTTCACAAAAACACTGCAAAACAACAAAAAATGTGTACGTTTACTGAATGCAGAGTATGGAATGGTTTTGAATTATACACACTGATGTATGTTGGAAGAGTGGGGTTAGAATGGTCATCACGAGATGGAAAACAAAGATGTATCCTTGGCCAAAAAGGAGGTCACACACCACGTCAGAAAACGTAAGGAACCAATCAAGTCTCTGCTTCAAAATTCCAGTCGCAAAAAATCAGCAACACAGCAAACGGGCACTGTTGACAAGAGGCCAACGGGAAAAAAACAAACAAAAAACGAAACCACTCACTGAGCCCCAGCTTAGGATCAGCCTTTTCCTTGAAGCCCTGTGGGTAGGTGCTGAGTCCCGTCAGAGTGTTGATGGGGTAGCGGTGAGAGTTGAGTGTGGGGTTTTGGTTGTAGATGCGGTACTTGTGGGGGTTGATGTCGGGGATGCGAAAGGCGTACATGCGGCGGGCCTCCCCCGTGGCGGGGCGCCTGAGGAGGTCCCGGCTCTGCTTGCTGACCACAGAGGGGCCATCGTGAACGGCGCAGATGGGGATATCATTGAGACCTGACATATGACAAAAAAAAACAGGCGCTGGAGGACTGCCCTAATGCATGCTCCTCGTGGATTCCTCACCGATTATCCATGGAAAGCTTCGTCAAGACAACCCTTGTCTTCCAAATGAAGAAGGCCCACGCACTCTTTGAAGACCAGACTCACGGATAGATAGGATAGGCAACTGTCCGAGCGCAAGTTAAAGATGGCTGTGAGTGTAAACATACTCGCCGGAAGACTCAGATCGAAGGATGGACACACACAGTACAGGGTCATGAGTACATGAGTGCAGAGACATGCTTGGAAGCTGAGAGTCAGAAGACCTGCCCTGAAGACCGATTCTCTGATAGTTGATGAGTTATCAGCGGATGCATTGGAGAAGTGAATGGCACTCTACTGAGCTGAGAATCTCCTATGCTTGCTGGACATTGGGTCTCAAAATGAGTAGCCTTGTGTGGGACCATGTTACGCCCTCTCAGGGGCATGTCAGTAGTAATTTTAGCAGGTAGTAGTACGGGCAGAGCTGTCAAGATGGAGAGGGTTGGATTTCAAAAGGGACTCTGAGATTCGGGGAGGAGGGTGGGTATGACTGATTATTAAAAAAGCATCAATATGAGAAGATGTCACGGAGAAGTGATGCGGCAGACTTTCCTAAAGCAGCGTTGCAACCTTGTCCCCATCAATGGCAGATTTAGCAAAGGAAATATATAGCTCATATTTAATGCTGCACAAGCACCCAACGTGTGGCATAAGTATTGCACCAAGTCCACAGGAGGAAATGTGAAATTATAGAACCAGTGTAGCTTCTTGTACAGGCATGTTGAAACTACTTTCACGGTATCTGATTGGTACCTCCAGCTAAACTGCAGGGCATTAGTATCACTCCCTATTAAGATGAATTAGTTGCATGTTTGGTTAGTTTCACTTCTACACATCCAATGTGTTATGCATGCTCATAGTCAGTCAGTACAAGCTACTAAGGACAAACTACCTCAAGAGGCAAAAAGAGAGTCATGCCGTTATTAACTTACTCATGCCAAATTTGGGGTCGGCCCGCTCCCGCACGGAGAGCGGGAAACGGCGGTACTGCTTTTGGGCGTCGATCTGATTGATCCGGTGGGTTTGTAAAGGGGGGTTGATGTGGTTGGGGTGGTAGTTTATGGCCTGGACCGGCAGTTTAGCGGGGAGGGACATGCGGGTCTGGTCTAGGGTGCCCGTGGCAGGCCTCCTCACGCGAAGACGAGGGTTGACGACGAAGCCTTCATCGTGGACAGAACAGATCGGAATATCAAGCAAACCTGCATAGGTCAACAACAAAACCAAAGTGAGTTTCACAGCAGAGAAAATGTTCTTTCTCGGCATCAAAATCCAAAGCTTTGAGCAACCGTGATTGAGCCGTTACAAGCTACATGTAATAACATACCGATTAGTCGCACGTTATGCCCCCCAAAAAGAAAAAAAGAAAAGGGAACCATTCAAAAGACATTTCTGAGTTGTTCATTATTGTTGTTTCAATACTCACGACCTGATGTGATTTGACCGTGTGACTGAAATTCAATTGACTAGATTAACAAAGCCACACTCAGTCCTGCAAGATTGTCCATGGCAGGTCTCAATTTATGTGTATCCAACTAATATCGATAACACACCCTAATCTAAGATTATGATTGTAAATTTTACCACATTCACGGCAGGCTAGCTTGCCATAAAGCTAGCAATGGTCCTAGTAGTCAGAGCAATTAATCCTCTCAAAATGTCCCCTCTGCCTCTTTATTAAAGCAGGTGAGTACAGCCAAAGTAATTTTAAAATGCAGCACATTTCTTTTCTTCATAAATAAAGTAAAAACTAGGCATGTTTGTTTAATCAGCAAACAATTCTTCAAGTATCGCTTGCAAAGAGCAACATTTCTCATTCAATATAGACTTCGTCAGACGGATCGCTGTATGCAGAGTAAACCGGTCAATTGATCAAACAGGTCTGGCACACTGTCATCACTGCCAGCCAGCCGGACTCTGTCGGGTCCATGAGCAGCTGGCAGTGTTTCCTGCCATTTGTATAATGTCCCCTTTTCATATCCAGTTTCGACTTTTTCAGTGTCAAGTCTGCGGCATTTTCAAAAACCAGGGCGACAGAAGATGTTGAACAACAGGCTGTGTTCAAGGAATTGGGGAATCGGAATTCATTAGCATATTTCATGATTTTCTGAGGGATATCTTCTCAACATTTACATTTGTTAATGGAGACTTGAAATTAGTTCATTTTTCCAGAGTATTTAGTGATTTCATATCTTGATGCTTTGCTCTGAGCCATGCATAGTGTACATCTATTGACTCCACAATAAACAATCTCCAGCATAACACACTGTTAGTAGTCCTTTACGTATTGGCAGAAAAAGCAAAGATAGCTGTTGATATTGTGATCTGAGTTTCAAGTCTTCATTTTTTGAAGTTGGGTTTGATTCCAACTTTAGCCACAGTTAATCCTTCCTATTGGCAGTCAGGCAAGAAAAGTTTGGTTTTCCTTTTTCTTTGTAGTACGACCTTACCTTTGATGTGTCTAACTCTGCCGGGATGAGGGTTGTGCCTGGCGAAGAAAGCACTCTGACTGAGATTACCGAACCGAGCACTGGCCATGGTGGCTGGCCGGTTACCAGCAAAATCCTTGCGAGTGACTGGTAGGTGGTGGCCCTTGGGGCTGTTCTCTGGCACCACGCCAAGCGTGCTGCGGACCACCAGCGGGTCACCGTTGGACGGGGTGAAGATGGGCATGGCTCAATTTGGGATTCTGAAAGTGCCAAAAAGTACGACGGATAAGTAAATACATCAATCAATGACAGAAAGTCAAGTTCACAAGGAGACAGGGTTCAGACTTATGTCTGTCAGTGGAATGATACCTTTCTGGAATACAGAGAAAGTGCACTGACCACCTCAATGTTCTGACCAATGCCTGAGTTGTCAAGTTTGCTGTTTCCCATGGAAAATAAACTGAGAATAAAAAAAATTGTTGCAGATGAACAAACAAAAATTCATTGGAGCGGGATTTAAACCTCCAATCTCAAGAACAGTGGACTGGCACCCTACCAATTAAACCACCAAGCCCCTGTTGGCAGTTCTTCCAATATCTTTGGTGAGGGGTGGGGGTGCTACCCCAATACCCTACGCTTTTTGTATACTACAGNTGAGTCCCCATGCTGATGTTGTGTGCTTGATATATTTTTTAAACCCTAACTCTCATCTGGAGTCCTATCCCATGAAACCATTTGTCTTTACATACTGCTCAAGAACCTAAGACGGGTGTCACATTTCAGGTTTTTTCTCCAACAAAGCAGTTCTGAGACCAGCAATAAAACACGAGGAAAATACATGCCCCGGTTAATGTGACGATCGAAACACAACAGCAACGCAATAAAATTCACCTTGACCCGTGAACTGTTTGCTCACGTCTTGATTTTTAGACCTCGGCAATAAAGTGAGATGCACGTCACCAAACCAACGACCATAGTCAAGTGTTTGATCAGGGCTCTTTTGTTTGTGTTCTTCACATAACGACCCTGCTGCCCCATAACTACAGTAGAGTGTTCTGGTATAGCAATGACATCGTTGCCATTCATTCCTCTTCCCCCCCCCCCGTAATTGGCACCATAATATTTTTTTAAAAAGGGCACCTCAAGATATTCCACAGAAGATTTCTGTTATCACAACCAAGTTAAGCTATAGACAGACACTCTACCAGCAATGTATTATTCTGATATTGGAACTGGTTGATAATGTATAGTGAACTGTCACTTCTTTTTTCCAGAATGTTCAAACTATAAAACTAGCAGACACAATCAATGCAGACAGATAATTGCAAAATGGCACTGTAACGGCAACTGAATTGGTTAATTTCCACTTCTTAATGGCAGGTTCATACTTTACACAAAAGTAAAACTGTACGCGAACTTGTGACATCAGATCAAATATTCGCATTATGAACTCGCAAAAGTGGAACACATTTCAACCTGAGTGAAGTTTCGCTTCAAATTTTTTGTCACGTCAAATTCACTTCGCTTTTGTATTCGCCTGAAGTGTGAACCGGCCTTAAGTCATATGTTTGAATGTCACGCACATTTCCATGCTCATCTCTGACTCCATATGCCATAATATAAGCACCCAGCGTTTACAACGCCTCCACAAGGGTTGTGCTTGGTACAAGCTAAGTCTTCCATGAAGGCTTCCTTCACCTCATTAATCAAATTTAGCTTCCACTCTCATGCATTGGACACCTGCACAGTGATTTATCAACAGCGTATACCTACTACATGTACTTCCCTGTGATATCAGCCTTGTTGCATTAAAGCAGGTTCACCTACAGTGAGGATAAGTATTTTCTATCTTTTATTTCAAAAATAACAACACATGTTCAAACAGCACTACTGATGATGCGACCAGGTTTCTATGTACAAGTCTCAAATGTTCACTCAAATTTTTCACAATACATTTGCTTGTTTTTCCCTGGTTATCTGCATGTAAATAACATTCAGGTCTTCATGAGGCAGAATTGAAGCTCATTTGCAAGTGCTCAAGTGTAATTTTCATATGGCAAATTTTCAGGGTAAATCTGTAAATCATGTAATTTGAAGCAATATTATTCCTTTAAAAGTGGTTTTCCAAATTATTTTGTCTTCGTTTCCTCTGCTCTATTTGGCAATTTTCATATTTGATAAAGGGACAAATTTTGGAAAGATGTAGGGATTGAAATTTGTACAGGTTTTTGCATTCTTTTTATAATCTCACTTCAGTTTCAATGAATTCTTGATTTCAATGCATCTGTGACCTATCTTATTTTACTAAAAAAAAATCAACCAAAACAGGAGAGGTGAAATTTAACTTGAGTGAATCAACACTGTATTATTTTACATCTTATACACCCGTCACATCCCGAGCTCCAATTTTGTACAAATATAATTCTTATTTCATTGCATAAATGAGAACAAGGAACGGTGGTAGCATCCACAATTAGGTTCTTATATATTGTTATGTTATGATTAAAGCCTCCCCCCTCAAAAAAAGAAAGTATTTCACTCTTAGGAACACCTCACCAAACCCCCTAGTGCACTGTTAAGGCAAATCCCAAAAGCTTACAATTTCAAAAACAATATTTGGCCACTGGTCACCAAGGCTCTGGCCATATTCTATTTGCAAAGGCATTAACACTGGTATACGATACAATAGAAAAGAATACAAGAAACTGCCTGCCTTGTCTCCAACAACAAACATCTAGTAGTCTACAGTCAATACCAAACTACCGGATAGTAAATATGGGAACTTTGCTGCAGGTAAACCTCCAAGATAAAGTTTAGTGTGATTGTCAGCCCACACTTTGCTTTGTAAAGCATACATCCTATACTGGCAGCACATTGGGACCCAGTTAATTCTGTTACCAAGATGGAATTTAGACTTCAGGGCTCACTCCCATTTAAAAATAGATAAATGAGAAATTCTCCCTGATTGGCCAAAGACACTGCACTCATCATTACAAATCACCTCCAATACCTCACAAGGTTGACTCGAACAAGCACAACTTTTCAGTTTCCTCTGGTAGTTAAAGACAATTGACAGTGAAAAAGCACAAAGTTTTGAGGTCACAGAACCAAATAATTTTGCCTATGCGTTGTTGGAATTACTCCCTTGTCGCACCTGTGGTATGAATCAACTTTCCAAAAGTATTGCTTCGGGAGACGTGGTATCAAATCTAAGATTATTTTAATTTCCCTACCAATTCTTGCTGTGCGAGCTTTGTTTACAGATTTTCAACTCAAAATGTCAAATGCATTTCTGGGACTGAGAAGTCCCATTCAACTGTGTGCTCTGGCCCCAAACACAACTTTGGACCTTCAATGTAAATTCTATGCGGGAGACATCGCTGGACAGTTTATACAAATAGGCACAGGAAGACATCTCTTGTAAAGCAGCTGTTTATGAAGTGTGACAAGTGACAACCATGTGCCTGCTTTGGTGATAAATGTGAGAACAAATGACCGAAAGAGCAAAGGTTTGCTGGTGGAAATGTGTCGAGTTTTAAAATGGATATTTGACTTCCAAAACTGGCAGGTCCAGAGCTGGTAATAAATGCGAGTCCCATCTTCCAAAGACCCAAAAATTGCGATGAAATATTTAGAGTGTTTTTTTCCGAGTCTTGAATGAGCATTTTTTTTCTTTTCAAAGGGTAACTTCAAACCCACGAGGATTTGGGTTTGTCTAGCATTTAGTTTTCAGCACACGGGAACATGAAGATGTCCATCGAAGGACAATTTGTTCCAACTTCTCCAGGCACAAATCCACAGTTCAGGTTGTCATAACGGTCTCACCTGGTTCAGTTTTGTGTACAGTCTTAGCTCCCTGGATGTGTAAATTTTTTCCAAGGAGGTTCAAGGCAATAATCATATATGAGCATGGTTAACTCCAAGCTCGATAAATTTAGTGGACACTTAAAAACTCAACTTTGAAGGTAAATTTCGGGCTTTGCTTTCCTATTATAAAAACATCCTCTTTACAACTAATCCCCCCCCAAAAAAGAACTGCATACATCTACAAGTAGACTGGAAACCTTGCCTTGCTGCTTAAAAGTCCAACACTCTTCTGAGCTACTATGCAACTGGCTGAGAGACCAATTTTGTTGTATCTTATGCTTAAGAGTCTGTCTACCCCGTTTATGATAATTGCCGCCCAACCTTCCTACGAAAAATGCATGGGCGAGGATTCAGATACGCCAATTTTATTATAAACACCTCTAACCCTCCTTGGGAAAAATTTACACTTCCCGAACAGGCAAAAATACTGACGAAACCTTCCATATATACATGTAGATTTCTAAAGCTGCATGCTATTTATCCTGCAATAATATATTCATCTAAACACATACAACATCGGCCCCTGAGAGAAGAAAATTTGTAAATTTGTGACACAAACCTTAACGCTGTCACATTTACTAATGAAAGTACTAGCAATGGCACACAAATTAATACATTTGAGACAAGTTGAAACCAAAGTTGGATTCTGTCTAATTAGGGGAAAGATCAATCAATTCCAATCTGATCTAAAAATGACAATCAATTTCAATGCGATTCAATCAAATCTAAGGTTGGATTCAGACCAGAAGTGCATTTTTGAAAATCAGAACACACATTAACCCAAACAGTCCTCAATCCTCCAACAGGTGAAGGATTGAGGACTGTTAGGGTTAATGATTCTAAGTGATAATTTACACTTATATGGGAAGAGGGAAAGAAGAAATTCGTTCTGTTTGATTAAAGGAAAAACAAAACAAGTTCTTGATAACTGTACAAGGCCCCTAATCGGAGATTCATGATGGAAAGAGTTCATACACAGACAGCACTTGACACCTTGTGCACAAACCCAATGAGATTGATCTAAAAATTGTAAGTGGCATGTTTTCTATAAGAGTGCATCCATACATGTATTTTCACTGCGATTTGGTGAAATTATGGCTTGTAAACCACTGAAAGGAAAATGAGTGATGTCCACATATGGAACTCTCACCACTCAGGGCTAGTAACATTTAATAAGATAGGGGGATTCTGAATTTCTAGGAAAGAAATTGAAACCCTAACCCAGGGCATTCTAACTGTATACATATCATCGTTATTTGTTTATCTTGGCACCTTCACGGTTGCCCCGTTCCAGTAATCCATCCCACGTCTATAAATCTAATTATCCTTTTATCGTCGATCAAATAACGAGCTCGTGTTTTTAATCGGTTTGTAACAGCATCAAAGTCCGCTATGTCAACTTGAAAATTAAGCCTTGATTGGAAATTCGTTTGTTGCTAGCCACAGCAGTTTGGATAACATTAAAACTCTCTCCTACATACCGTACCAAGTACCTGTAAGTACCGGTGCACGTCCCATCCTGAAGCAATAGAAACGCAGTCAACCTGTTACTACCGCAATGGTGCCGTCGGTAAATCTACGCGTGATTGAGCAAGTCCCAACTTGGATTTGCCTCGCCTTCTTTCTAAATATCAAGTCAAAATCTCCCCAGAATTAACTTCAAACATTTACAGGTACAAGTGGTTTGAAATCATTTACCTTTTGAGTCTGTAAAAATCGGGCTTCGAGGGTCTGGCAGCTTTCGAAAAAGAATTCCGAGAGAGAAAATCGCAGCACCGTCCGCGGTCGTCGTCTAGTTTTGTGTTGAGGGTGATGTCAGTTCTGGTAACGAGCGCCGAATGCGCACAAGCTCGTGGTTGTGCGGTGATTGTGACCCGTTGCTAAGGGACGCTGCTCCCCCATGGCTCGCCCCAAACAGGGTCGCAACGAATCGATTCGTCCCTCCAAAGGCAACAAAACGCCAACTGACGGGACAAAAGAGGGTGAAAGATCGTCCCATTGTGGGCACGGGTGAAGGGTTTACGATTTCTCTCTTCGGATTAGCTGGTGTTCCTAGTTTAACATGTTTGCTGTCATGTATTTATTTGTCAGGATTGAATAATGACAATAATCATTATTTCGGATTTAGAACGTAGAAAAGGGAAGAGGCCATACGAATTTAAGTTAACCCCGGGAACTGTATCGTGAAAGTTGAAGTGAAACGATGTTTACTCTGTCATTTTTTTTGGATCAGCTTCTTGACAATCAGTTTAGCCATTAAATGTGTCAATAAGCGTTCCTAATGGTCTTTCCGTGTCCACGTGTCTTTGGAATACTCTTACAAGAAGTATTCATGAAGTGAAGCCCAATCCTTGAAAACTAGAATTCGCGAAAAAGACATTAAATCTGCCCAAACTACTACAAATATCGCCATTTTTTCATTCATTAAAAGTTATTGGCTGTATAATAGGTGCACATCATTCAAATTACCGGCTTCGATTATTTAGGTTTGGGGAAATAAGACAAAGTCTTCGTAATTATGCCAGAAATAATGAAGGTCGGGGGATACTGAACTTACGCCAATGCCTCTGCTGGCGTAATGTCAAAATTAAGAGGCGCCGCGTTATTTTTCCCATAAATACAGTCAAGTCACAAACAGATATATAAATGTACTAAGAGAGACCAAAAAATTGTCTTTCACTCAAGAATGCTATTTGATTTATTGGGTATGCTATAGAATAACTGTACTGTATTTACGTAGTCAAAAAATAACATAGGTTTTATAAAAACACAGCTGGCATTCTTGAATCCAATTTTAAGTGTTTGATACACACGATAAAAGATGTTTAGATAAAAAGCTACAATTAATTACACATAAATAGTCGCTAATGGTTATAGCGCCATGTGAGGTCGTAATTAACATTCAGTATACATGTATTACGAAGTTGTTTAATGACTTCCTCTTCCGACACATTGTTTGCCATGAATCGACAGCATTAAGGTTCACTATCACGATTTAACGTTCATGATTTGATCTTAGGAATTCGAAATTAATTCACGATAACTTAATGTTTTCTTGATCCTTGCACAGACCACAATCGACAACTCACATTCGAGAGGGGCGCCTCGAGCCACGGCTACATGTGTCTGCATACTGTAACGTCCGTGGTCGGACGCAACGTAATACAATTGTCATTATGATTGCAAAACGGGGTAGCATGAGGGCGCTATACCAGCTGTTCAGTGGGGAAGCTGCATATAATAATCTTTCCACGACAGCCTTGCCAATTTTATTGAATAGTTATAAATTATTACGAACTTTAAAGATCGAAATAGTATTCGATCACGCCTCTGTGACTGGTCACCATGATAAAAAAAAGTTGATTTACAACCTGATGAACCTGGTTTTGGTATAGATACTAGTACTGGAAATGAAAGATTTGGAGTTCTCCAACTCCGGTTTTCAGTGTCTTCTTCATAGCAAGTTGAGCCTTGTGAAAGGTACATGAATAACTTAATGGCCCACCCTTTCATGTATGGCTAAATCAAGATATGAAAACAGGTCGTGCAGACTCCTGTATCATTCTACCACAACTCCAAGATAGATTGAAAGTCTTTTGGGGGGGGGTGGCTGTCAATATTTCCAAATCTTTAAAAATGACAGCAGTTAAAACTTGCCTGCTCGGTTATCAATTCAAAAAACCCTCCTGAAACACATCTGCAAATAACTTAAAAACAATGTTACAACAAATTTGGCACATCTAAAAACCTTTAGTACCTGGTAAATATCAATACGAACAATATTGAAAAATCATGTTGTTTGTTAAAAGGGTTGCCATGGCATTACAAGAGGTTTACGTTTTCTTGAAGACTGATTAGAAAATGGAGGGTTTTTTTGGACACTCATCTTTCTTTCCACAACATTTCCGTTTCCTGAGCATATTCCTCCTCTAATGCTTTGGAGACTTGGCATTTACACGACAACAAAGAAGTGACAGCCCTGCCGAAACTATTCAGGGCAACAATAACGTGACAATTTCCCACCAGTTCTTTCATGCCCAGGCCTAGGTTATCAATTAGGCCGTGGTAACTTTTAAAGAGAAAGTCAAAAACGATGTTTTGGCAAGTTTGGTCACAAAATGTCTTTCCTGTTTGCAGTGCAGAGTTCTCCATCTCACCGAAGCTATCCCTGCCCTCATTCACAATTAAAAATATATTCAAGCTAAATTGTTGAAAAATTGCTGATAGCATGCATGACATAAAACCTCTCCATCAAAAACTGCGGCAAATGTAACCCACAGCAGTCAAATCTGCCACAATATCACCGAAAAAAAAGATCAATGCTAAACAAGAATTATAAAGTTAGAGGCACTGTCTGGATATTAAACAAAGAAAGAAAAAACATTGGCACAAATCTAAAGTACATAGTGATATAAACAAAATGAAAATAACAGTGAACAAAGCAAAAAACCTACGCACAACTTTACAATGTTACCTCAAACTATATACAATTGTAATTACACAACTGACCGCCAAGCCTTTCCAAGTAATTCATTTCAACCAGCTAATACCTCCCCCTGCTTACTTTTTTCCCTCAAATAACAATAAAATTGCCATCAATCCACATTTTGAAAAATGAAGCTGAATTCCTTGCATGATTTGACAAGTCATAAATCCAAAAGTTTATTGTCAGGACAGGTGGGGGGTAGACTGGTTTTTGCACGAAACCCCAAATGATTAGATTAGCAGTCCTAAACACTGGTTGACAGGACCTGTGCGCATTTGAGGATGAGATTTCCAGATTACCGCCTATCATCTGAGCACTGCTCAATGTTTTAACACAGTATTAAGGTTTGGGTACAACAAACAAAAGTCTTTTGATTTTAACAAGAAAAAATCTACACAATTCAAAATCTAAGTCTTTTTACAAGTTAATTCACTAAAAAGTAATTTCCACCCATTCTAATGCTGCCTGCTTAGTACTGATGTGATCTTTTTTTGGTTTGAGACCAAGGCCTTAACACATTTCCCTAACACGTGATTGACCTTTTCAATAAAATTTACAAACCTGAAACAAATGAATGTAAAAAAAAAAAGAAACAACATGTCTACCTTTTGAAACTCCCTCCTTTCCTTTGTTTGCGTCATCTTCGGGCATCAATGACGTCCCAAATTAAGAAAATGATCAGGGAACATCAGTTCCTAAAACGTGATCGAGCAAACTCGGGCAACAGCAAAAGGGGAGCAAAATAAAATAGCAGCATTTCTGACGAGAAAGAAGTTCACTACGTCTTGTGAGTTTGCAATCCTCGGAACACAGACGAGTTGCAGAAAGTCCTCGTTACAAGATCTGTGTTCAGAGTCTGTATTTGTTTTCCATCAATTGTGCAGCATAACACAGATAAGAACATGAACAATCAATCTTGCGGTAGTTCATTTACTTGCTCGCATTTTTTAACTTGCGTAGACTTGAAAAAAAAACAAGAAAGCACAATTCAGAGAGTTGCTGAATGGAGAATGTTTTGGGGGAGAAAAGGCAAACATACATAAAGTGTTTTACAAAACTAGCAAGACTTGAAAAACAAATAGACCGGGATGGAATTCTCTCTTAGGGTAAATGCTGAGTTAAAAAAAACAATCTTAAAAAATTCAAGCATCGTATCACATCACAGTGCAGAATCCCGATTTGCACCAGCTGTAATAAAACAGGAACACGAGAGATTCACGGAATACAGTATACATTTCTATTACCTCATTTATCTTCCGTCTTCGAGAAAGGAACGGCAAATTTTTATTCCCGTCCTTTTTTTTTTTAATGTTTCCATCCTTCAATACCACCAGTGGACTAAAATAAAAAAAAAAATCTTGCCTAACTCAAAAACGAAAGTCCCAGGAAAATATTTCCCACAATGTATTATTGTGCACAGTTTATCTTCTCCTTATTCACCAATTATACGTACATTCACCGGGACGTGTAGGTTATGTATGGCCATAAACAATCACTAAAATTACCGACATGTACGCACTAATGCTACCGGAAGCACAATATTGTCATGAATTCAGTAAAGAAATACAAGTTCTTCGGTTGATTGTAAGAAACCAGCTTGTTTTGAGTAAATAAAAAATCTTGTCGTTACATGATTTTTTTTAAAAACGGCTTTACTGCCGGTTCATACGAATGTCAAAGTGAAGCAAAGTTGACGTCACAAAACATTTGCAGCGAAATTCACTGGACTTGAAATGTGTTCAGCTTTTGCAAATTTGCAGTTCTGGCGTCACAAGTTTGCAATCGTTATGCTTTTGTGCCGAGTAGGAACTGACCTTTACACCGACACCTTGTGACTGACCAACTCTATGCTTCTCAAGTTACACTATGACCCCTTTCTGGGAGACTTTGTGTTCTATGCACTTGAATTATTTGTTGAAAACAGCTGCAACTTTGTCCACAGCTTCATGAAACTTACCAGTTGCTTTCTTCTTCAACGCATTTTTCAGTAATGATAACATTTATCCTCGAGTGTTTGTCCATTAAACAATCTATTTACAAGCTCAATCACATGAAGTTGGACGCTGTAACACAAAGTTGCCTTTTGATGTATAAAAAGTTAAGCATTTCCACCTGTAAGCATGCAACGGACATTTGTACCTTTTTTCTGACGGAGAGTTTATGAAGATGCATAGATATGTACTTTCTACTACTAAATAAACGTTACATTTCACTTTTGTATACAGTTCTCCCAGGACTGAAACTGGTCAATGGCATACGGACATATTTTGCTATTTTGTCTTCTGGTAAGTTATTTCTCCAAGTAATTTCAGTTTGAGAGAGCACTACAGTATTAACCTTATGCCCAACTAGTCTAGTTCCCCAAGCCTGCTGTCCGGTTAATAATTCTTGGTATGACGGTGAGTTGCAGGACTGCCTGTAAAAAATTCTGTGCACTGTACCCCAGCACCACAACTCTGTGACGCGAGCGGATTCCGACGCTCTTGCCTGTGATTGAATCATTCCACTGAAATCTGAGATATTAAAAACCAGAAATCACTTCCTCCATTACACTAAACATGCTGATCGACAGTGCTACCCACAGCCTTTGTTGATTGAAACATGCATCGCAATGGTGTGCAGACGGACAAAGAAAGCGGAGAACATGGCTGAATCGGCCGGCAATACTTTGCCTCACCAGCAAAGAAGTCCTCCTCTAAAATGGAGATACAAAGCTCTCATTTTGCAAACATTTTTCGGCAGGCAGTTCCTGGGACGGGGAGAGAGTTTGGTGAGACAACTGAACACCAATGCCACAGGTGATGTTCTTTGGCGGAAGGGATCCGAATGCATATTGTGGTTTACGTTCTGGGTCTCCGCTCGCTAGCAACTTCCACACAGCACATGGAGACCCATCGGTCGAGGTTGGAGTCTAGACTCCTCCATGGTGTGCTAGAACATATCGTCCAGATGACCATGCCTGTGTCCTACAAAATCAGACTCCTGACGAGGTCCTACTACTCAGGTTGGATTCGCAGCAGGAGAAACCAAGCAGAGCCACAATCTCTAACTCTGGAAAGCTGAATAACGGCCCTTCATTATACACAGATTGCTTATTCATTTTTTTTCATAGTTCTTGGTTCAACGAGTGCGTGGCTGCATTGCCATCAGGCACATTGCATGAGTTTTGTTAAAAGTCTTTGTCCCAGCCAGACATGTCATCCGGGGGTGCAGGATCCGTGTCTGGTGGATAATCGTCAAAGTTTGACGTGTCCGAGTTGGACCTCACCTGCAGAGCGAAAGTCAAAGGAAGAAAAAACAAAAAACAAAAGCAAATCTGATCAGAAATAGATATCCTTTGGTTACCTCATCACTGAATAGGATGAAGAAGGATAAATTACGGTCAATGCTGTTGGCACAAGTTGAGCAAGGATGGAGTAAAATTGGATGAAGAAACTTGGAAATTTGACTTTTTTTTTCTTGGTCGTACACCAGTGCTTTTCATCCCAGCTTCATGAAAAATCTGGAGGCATGAGCATATATGTTTATGATTAGTGTTATCTCTGGAACTTTCCTTCACTGGGAAGAAAACAAGTTAATTTTGATGTGCACTTTGTGGTTTTTGTTTTGTTGTTCTGATGTGATTATTGTTTGTTCGTCGGATAGTTGCCTTCATCAACGAGCGTGACAACCTGACCAAAAAGTGAGAGTCAAATGACAAAAGTGGAATGAAATTCAGAAAAGGGCCAAACGGAGCATGCTTTGGTGATTGCAGGAAACCTCTCATGCATATTCAGCAGGGGTACTCTGCCCAAGCGAAAAGCAAACAAACTGTGTTTGCATGAGCCGACAAAAACCGCAGCAGGGGCATTTGAAATATTCAAAAGGGGTAAAAAAGTATCAACAAGTCACAAAAAAAACCTTTCAGATCAAACCTTTAGCGTCCTCAAGTACATAATAAGCACTGAATGTGAAATAACTCACAGGGAAAAAAATTCAAATTTCTGGGTACAAATTTTGCAAAGCCTTGTTCCTCATTCATCCCTTTCTTAGGGAATCTCACTTTTCCAGAATATGCTTCAAGACTGCCTTTCATATCTGAATAGCTACGCGGACTGTGTTTTCAGTCAAGCATGTTTTAATTACATGCTCGAAACAGAGAAAGTGGTGACTGCATGTTCACTCCAGGACAACACGGAGCCAAGGACAGCTGGGAAAAGTTCTAGAGTACGTAGGCATAAAAAACAAAGGTAGAAGTATTTTTTAAGGAGGGGGGGATTTGAATGAGGGATGTCAACTTTGCACAAACTGGGAAAAACTGGGTTCTCACACTGGGTATCAAACGCATTTCGTTTCTGACCTTTGTACGGTATTGTTCAAGAGATCCAACCTTTGGTGGAACGAACAGGAAAAAAATGATGACGATTTAAACTGGCTGCCGATGACGTCACCTCTGAATTGTGCGAGTTGTGCAATGTCCATTGGTCATTTCCAAAACAAATGTGACAACACAATTCCCTGCTGTCAAAATATACAAATTATGGCTCTGCGAAGTCTATTTTCATTCTGTATTGAGGTATCTAATAAAAATCTAGTAAAAGAAAAATGGCCAAGTGGAGATAGTGTACCAGTCCTGCAAATTCAGGACGGTTTGAAACAGAACTAACCTTAATCTAAATTGATCCTATCGTAGAGAAAGAGACGCTTGGCTAAGGATGATTCATAATTGTGGGATATGTGTAACATCAAGGACCAGCAAGAATGTCATGTTTGACATTTGCAATGGTTCTGATTGGAACTCAGTCCACAGCAAACCATTGCTAACCTAGACACACTGTTACCATCCGATTTTGTTTTGGAACCAAGCTATAAAGTGGAACATCTGACAGTTCCAATATGACACTGTCGGCTCAAGACCACCATGTATGGTGAGATCCATCCTGATTGGACGCTTATTCTCAGGAATAACTTTGGTTCATGAAACACACAGCGTTGCCTTGCTCAGTGGCAAGCCCTAAAGCATAGTTTTTGGAAAGGAGTGATGCCATTAGAAAATCTTTCTGTAGGAACTTTTCATCAAGCGCAGTCCCTTATTTGAACCACTAACAATTTTGACTTCCTGCCCCCTCCCCCAATTTCTGCAAATCACCAACCCGTGGATGCCAACTTTTTCAGATTTTATTGTCAAAGCAATGTCTCCGGCAATTCTACTCTGCATTGACAATGATGTTCCTTTGCTTGTCAACATCAGATTTGGTCATGGAACAAAATGTAGAACGATTCAGGTTGACTTTGACACACGTGATACTGTGCGGGGTAACCACGTGTAGACTCCACCGGAACCTTCGAGAAATACGCTGACGGACTAGACCTGATGAGGTCATCAGTGTCAATACTCACATGGGGTACAATGGGCGGAGTCAGGGTCCTCTTCTTGAGCCCCTCCCAGTTGAAGCCGTCAAACCACTTGTGCTTCTGGATGTCTTTGAGCCCGTTCTTCTGGTAGCCAAGTCGCTCCGTGGGGTTGTCTCGACAGAGCTTCTTGATCATGTTGGCAGCGTTGCGGGTGATCTTGCGTGGGAATTCGATCATGTCCATACCCTTCAGGATGATGTTGTATGTCTTCATGGGATCCGAGCCTGTGAATGGTGGGCTGCGGGGGGGGGTAAGTTTGGAAATGTACAAATAGATTTAGGGGATGATTCCGGGATTTTTCAAAAAGGGGATGAAACTTTGTTGGAAACCTTGGGCTATTACACATTAAGAAGTCTAACAGTCGAACAATTGCCACTGACAGGGAGAAGAAACAAAGTGATTTATACAGAGATAACAGCAAAGTACCTTGCTCGAGGACACTGGAGCATCTAGATTTCCAAGACAGACATGGCTGATTTATTGGCACAGAAATTAAAAAAAACATCCTACCTTCCTGTCAAGAGCTCAAACATGAGGATTCCTAGTGACCAGTAGTCAGCCGAGAAGTCATGGCCTTTGTTCAAAATGATTTCAGGTGCGACGTATTCGGGGGTGCCGCAAAACGTCCATGTCTTGCGGCCAAGATTGATCTTCTTTGCAAAACCAAAATCAACCTGTCGGAGGAAAAACCAAGGAGGAAACCGGCTGCGGTTTGACAAGATTCCACTTCCAAACGAGATCTCGGTTTTGTTGGGTAAATTTGGTCTTTGGTCATATCCAAAATCAGGGGTAAGACTCACCAATTTGCCGTAGCCCTGGCTGTCGAGTAGGATGTTCTCTGGTTTCAGATCTCGGTACACAATGCCTTTATTGTGAAGGTAAGATAACGCTTCTATCACACAAGCTGTGTAGAACCTTGTAGTACTGTCATCAAATGAGCCCCTGTAATAGACAAGGTGATTGATAGGCTGGTCTAGAAAAAGCCACCTGTCTAGCCAACTGTTTGCCAGGATGCATAAAGATTGCCTCATATAAACCACATGGCATGTATGAAGTCATCTGATTTACACATTACTGCATTACACGCAGCCACTCCATTTCGTATCTGATGGGAACGTTCCCCATAACCACAGGTTACGCTGCAGTCATTTCATTGATTTCCTGCAAGTCACACCCTGTGGCAATGCCAATTAATTAAAAAACCTCCCTTTTTTTCCCCACCGAACAAAAATTAAAAGACCAATTTTCTTTTCGTGCAAGACCACAGATTTCGAGCGAGACAAAATTTTTTAGGTGCGAGACTACAATTGTCATGTGGGACCAATTATTCTTCATGCAAGACTAAAATGTTCATGCATTCATCAATGTTCTTGTTATTCTTGTATGATAACTTTAGTCTTACATGGAAAAAAAAATTGGACAAAATTCATGGTCTTGCACAAAAAAAGCCTTTGGTGATATTTTCCGTTTTTATGAAAAAGGAGTTTTGAATTAATTCCGCTTTGGCTTTCCATAGTAGACTGCTTTATGGGTATTTCCACAAATTAGGGCTTCATTTTTTTCGTGTCCCTGTTACATCTGATTGATGTCCCTGTGTCCCTGTTACATCATGATTCTGTAAGTTCAGAACACATTTTCGAATTTCCAAGAGT